AGTTATAAATGGTGTAACTAACACAACTTTTTTATATAAATAAATATATTTCAAATCAATATCATGTTTTCAATATCCACGAAAATTCATTAGAATATTTTTTTTACTTAAAAAATAATAATATAACGTCACAGATGTACAGTAATTTTTGCTTATATACAAATTTATGTACATATACTTGTAGTATATATACATACGTACTATACTTATTGTTGTTAATGGACAAGACGGTTTTTTGAGGACACCATGTGGCACAGAAATTCGTAACAAAGTAAAAACAAAAAACAAAAGTAGAAGAATATCTAATAGAAATGATGTCAGTCCCAAATTCCCCGAGAGCGAAGTCCCGGGTTTAAACCAATTTTTAATGGAATTAGAAAGGACAGAGGATATTTGGTTTAAATAAAATATGTTCGGGTCATTCCATTTTAAATTTGCACTAAATATGTTCTTTGAAACAAAATATTGGACACCTATTTTTCTTTCGACTCAATATGAAAGGTTCGTTAGATTAACGGAAAGTAAGATACCTTACATACCATTAATCATATATAACAAGAAAAACCAACCTGCCAATTTTATCCATTTTAGGCACAGATTCGTAGCGTTATGAGAAAAATATGTCCACTCAATTTAATTACGATAACTGACATCGATATTTTCATCAAAAGCTCTGAGGTCGAAATTTCCGGTATCTGGGAATAGTTTTGTTTCAATTTGGACAATTTTTATTCATAATGTGGCACACCTCAAAGGCACTATTCACGCCAAGATTTCTCAGAATATATTAATTGGTGCTTGTACTATATACTGAAAAATAAAAAGATCAGATGATTCTTATGATGATGGAAAGTAGACGTGATTTGTATACGTTTTCGCTTATTTTCGCACTGTAACATTAGAATGTAAAAATTCTTATGTGTATCAAACTTGGTTGACATTGGTGATTCGGTAATGAGTTAAATGTCGAAGTGACACGCCCATCGTCTAATTTTGACAGCTGCTCTGTGTACATTTGGGTGATATAGTTGGAATGGTTTGAGAGATATATACATTAAACCTATTAGAGGGTGTGACCAAGCCCAATTTTTATAAATTTTTAAACCGCAAGGCCTCTCACTTTTGCAAATTACTATTTTGAACCTCAGTTTGCGGCTCAGCTATTGCAATATCAAAAGCCTATAACGATTATTGGCGTTTTGTGGACATGGTAGTAGTTCGAACTCGTTCTTTCCTTATTGCCAAGGAGCACGTGTACCAAGTTTCATTACATTACACCTTGCGCGGACGGACGAACAGATAGTCACTTGGAATTGAACTGATCTCGTCATTCTGATAATTTATTCAATAGAATTTTTTAGGGCTAAACATATCACATCGTATCATATTTCTTCTTCTCTTCTTTTGTTTTTCTTTAATAAATAATAAAAAAACTCACGCTATTACTTTCTAATCGGAAAGGCAAAATAAAAAGCTTACTCTTTAAGGCTTATTGGGAATTAAGTAAAGCGACAAATAAAAATCCAAACATTCCGATTATTTTGTGAGGAAATAATATAAATTGAAAAATAACTAGATTTTTAATTAGATTTTTTGTCCATTTCCTCATAGCTGCTACAGGACCTGGTTTTACGTGATACAATCAACAATTAAGGAAACAAAACTATTATAATGTCTGCAGCTACATGTTGCACAGGTATAGAAATAACTAGTCGGCATAATGTTTATGATTTTTTTCAGCTTTTCCACTAGATATACGTTTATTCGACCTTTGCTATACACATACAAGACACATTTATAAACAGGTTTTTATTTTTTTTTAAATTTTGAACTATTTTTATACCGCTTTTTATACTTTTGCAACGGCTACGGATTATAACCGGTTTGTTCACCTAAAGGTTGTATATATCAGCTAAAAATAATCGAATTAGAATTAGTGATATACATATACCATATAAACGATAAGGATGAGGAGACAAATAAATGGTACGAGTGTTCCTTTACAAAAAAGTGAGGACGAGTTCGTGATAAACGTAATCGGATCAGCGCAACGAACACAATACGCCATTATAAAACATCTATTCATCAGAGCCATTACGAAACACTAAATTAAGATATAAAACTTAATTTGGCTCTGAGGATTGCACTAACAAGGCTAAAAAATATATGAAAATTGTCGATCGACGTGGCACAGTCCACGTTTTGGTAAAAATCATAGAGACCCAATATAACTTACATACCTTGTGCACCTGAAGGTATTTCCTTGACTTTGATCTTTGCAAGTTGCAGAAGTGTTAAATGTGCGGTTATCCCCGAACTAAGTAAGGAAGATCTTGTTTTGTTATTGAAAAATGTACAGTAGTTTTTGATGGTCCATTGAAGGTAATTTAATATAGTTTATACAAAAATCGAATAAATGCAATGTACAACACATTGGAAACCTGACAACTAGTTACTTTTATAATTAGATACTTTTCTACGCAAACGCAAATGTTTAAAGGTACTTTTTTCAGACATGAAATTTTTAAAATGAATAATAATTATTTATCTGAAAATATAAAACAAATGTTTTACATGAACAAAAATATTTAATATAAATTTTGGATGGAATCACTCACATATTTACCGATTGTAAAAAAAAAAAAATATTGTGGTACACTGTTACTGGAAATGCATAGAAAACGTCGTTTTTAAATCTCTAAAAAATCAGACACATTTGGGGTTTTTTGGTTACCCTCACCATGACAAAGATGATCAGCGCGATAATAGTATTTGTGTACATTAGAGTGTTTTTTTTTAACTAATAAATTTTTTCAGTCCCTTAATGAAATTTCCTTGAAAATACCCTAATAATTTGAGCCCTTAATATTAACATTAATGGCTGGACCAAGCCATGTAAAGATTTTCCATTGAAAATATATGACAATCGTGATTTTTTATCTTTAAATTTATATAACTCAGAGCCACTTTATGGTATGGCCTTGACTTTAGACACTGATTTTTACAGGAATTTCGATTTTTTTTGTATATATCTCGTAAATGATAAGAGCTATGAAAAAATGCACATGACAAACTTGTAGGAAATTTTATTTGCTACAAAACAGGCCCGAGGTCAAAATCGCTATCATTAATACTTCTCGAGAAATTCTCCTTTTCAAGTATACCATCTATCTGTTGTCATTTAAGAGATATATACAAAACAAATCGAAATTCGTGAAAAAATCGGGTTTAGAGCCCCGTACAACCTCGCCGGTGTGAGTTTCGACTTTGCCGGAATGAGCACTTTGCTTTGTTTAGTCTGGGAATATTTTTGGGGGTATTTCCAAGGAAATTCCATGACGGGATTGAAAAAAATCAAAAAAAAAAAAAAAAAAAAAAAAAAAAAAAAAAAAAAAAATACTCTAGTGCACATACAAGCTTGTGTTTTAAACTAAACAGGACTTAAAAAACAAACAGAACAAATGGTTTTTTCGGCAAAATCAATTCACTTTGTTCAAAATAGTCTCCTTCCGCTTCAATATAGCTTTTGCACGGTCCAAAAGCATGTCAAACTAGTGTTTTAACTCATTGGCCGGTATGGCCGCCATCAGGTGAATATGGGGAGTGGTTAATAGTTAAAATGTGATTTTCTGTCAAATAATCGGTCACAAGCGTCGATCGATGAGACGATTCTGAGCAATTTTTGGTCATCAGTCGATTCGTGCCGAACAAACCGTGCACACACCTTTTGTAAGCCCAAATGTTCGGTCAAAATGCGATAAATCGATGTTTTGGAGATGTTCAATTCAATTTCCATGAATTTCAATGATGATTTCGGCTGATTTTTGATAAATTCACGCACAGTTTCGATTTCCGGTGATCACGGACTTTGATTTTCCCTCATGTTGATCGTCATTTATGTCCTCACGACTACTTTGAAAACGTTGAAACCACTCGTGCACGCTGCTACGGTATAGGCAATCATCTCCATAAACTTATTTCGGCAAAAGTTTTACCAATTTTAAAACTAAATTTAATGTTGGTTCTTTGTTCGAAGCTCACTTTCGCACTGATAACACAAACATACTGACACTTAAGGGGTTAGGTGGGTTTCAGAGGTACAAAAAAAAAGGTATTTTTAGATTTTTTTTTTAATACAAGCAATCATATATTTGAAAAATATGTTATATCATAGGTATATATTCGAACAATATCTAATGAAATTTTGATACAGAAATGTTGAAAATTCCGCCGTTGGGACCGCATTTCCCTGGACGTGGACAGCATAACTTATTATTGGTTCATATAAAATTAAAAAAACTAAGCATATTCTGTTACATATCTAAATCTGTTATATATCCAAGGAAATAAAATAATATTAAAATGGTCCTTCTCTTCTCGGAGTTTGAACAAAAAATCTCATTTTTGGTAAAATTTTCAGCATTTTTTGGTCAGAAAAATAAGTTGTAATGAAACAAGAAAAAATCCCTCGTTCAATAACTAGATAATATTATTTCAAAAACGTATACACAATACGAATTAAATCGGTCGATAAATTTTCGAGAAATCGTGTCCACCGACTTCAAAAACACAGTTTCGGGAAAAACGCGTTTATAGACAGGGCACTTAGCGCAGTTAGTCTTGAGTGCACAAGTTCTCCGAAATTATTACTCAGATCAACTTTAAAATTTAGGTCTATATTCTAGAGGTATTGTAGAATTTAATAAAGCAAACAAAAAACAAAATCGATTTTTGGAAATTTTCAACTTCACTGCCAATCAATCAAATGTCATGAAATTCTCACTGGACACTCGATAAAGATAGCAGATTCTAACGCAGTCGACATAGAGGTGGCACCACCAAGGGGCGCTAGATTCAAGAAGTCCTGTTTACTTTGGAATGCACCTTGTACAAGAAATTCAGCTATTTGATTTTCTCTTTTTAAAACTTGATAAATAATAAAGAGATTCAGTGCGGGTAAATCCGCGGGAAAAGCCAGTTAATTAATTATAAATTCAAACCTTAAGGGAGTTTTAGATCCATCTGAAAACTCTAGATCAATATCCAGTAATCCTTCTTGGTATTGGGCAGTTAGCTTATTTGTCACTGAAGTTTCTGCTGTATAACCGTTGTCAATCGTGCTGTCCGGTGAAATAGTTAATTGCAGTCCTGAAATCACTCGCACAATTAACCTTCTTATACTGACTTTGTCACTTCCTACTCGAATTTCTTTAGTTCCTATCACCCGTCCTGTTATGGGTGATAAAACCTAAATTGATTTTTATTTTTTATTGTTGTTAATGACTGGTTATATAACTGGTTATAGTTATTATACCTGAATATCTGTACGTCCCATCGATTTTCCTTGCAATATTTGTCCTTTTAATGTGGCTATTTTGGGATCGGACACCCTTAGAAGGGGTTGAACTAAATCGGTAACTCTTAGACCAGTTCGACGCGAAATAAAGTAACTTATTCTTCCAGAGTTCTAGAAAACAAAATATTACAATATTTTCATAAATTGTAAGACATTAAATATTTTAACACTTACTTGGTCAATTGCTAAAAATCTTGCAAAGACTTCTATTGGACTTTGTTGATATCGCGCTTTGCATATAATTTTATCTGCACTAGCATCATTTTTATATTGATTCCATCCCGTGGATCTTTTTTTACGATGCTGATTTTGTTTGTTTAAGCTAAAAAGTAGAATTGATTAATGTGTTAGAAAAACCAAATGAACTAAAAATGGTATTACAAAATACTGGTGTCGTCAATAACTTTCCATCCTTTTATTTGCGATAACCTAAAGTCCGACACGTAAACCTCTAATGGAAATTCTGGCATCCATACAGTAAACTTTGCTAACCCAGCATAGGATCCATACTTTACAATAACCGAGGCATTAGAGGAACCTCTGATTTCAGAGCCATCTACATAAACCGAACTGCACGAAGATGATACCTGAAATCAATTGATGAGTAGAAGTTAAAAAACTCTTAAACATTTGATAAATTAGTAGTGGTATATATAGCTATAACGACTGAAATGGAAAATTCCGACGATAGTCGGGTCTACGTAACCTAAACGGACCCGGATTTTTTATCCGGTCGAGAATTGTCAACTCGGTAGGATTCTACCGCTATAACAACAATAACGACTGACGTGGGACCAACGGTAGTTAGCAACCGTGTCTTAAGCTTATCCTTAGACAAGTCGGTCTGGTCTAGTCACCTTCATGTATAAGATCTAGAAAAATCCTATTATACAAGTATTGACAATTTTATTTAACATAGTTATGTTGCCAAAAAACCAAGACATTCGATATTCACAAAATCGGGCACCAGTGTAACAGTCACATTTTGACGAGCCTTATTTTCAGAAAGCATGGTCCAATTATGCTTCCAGTCCAAAAACCACCCCAAACAGTGACCCGTTGCATTTGTTTTTCAACAATCACATGTAAGTTCTCAGAACCGCAAAAGCGGCGATTAACAAACCCATCAAGTTAAAATGTGTTCCTCGATTATTATGATTTTGCTCGAAAAATCCTTACATTATTTTTGAATTATTGTTCAATAATGAAGATACGTTGTTATATCGTTTAACGCTCCACTTTTAAAGCCTAAATCTGAAACAACTATACAAGAATTGGGCAATATATTAGTGTAAAATCCATTTAAGCCATCTTCAAAAATGTATTGATCATAACTGTGTCTCTCAGTAATACAGATTTTACATCTACTGCTGTTGTATGGTATAAATGAGAACGCCTGTCAATCTGATATATGAAATATTCAAACTGAAGTAATTATTTATTAGAACAAAAACTTTAAGTAAAAAAGTTTTCTTTTTTGTAAGTTATTCAATTCGATTGTAACTGAAGAAGGTTATAGAAAATAAAACACGAAACTTTAAAAGAAGGTATAGTGGAGGTATTTTTTCAATACTTACCTTAATTACACTTTCGTCTTCAGCATAACAGGAACTCTGTAGCGTAACATCAGCTACTTTGCCCGCTTGTGAAACGATGAAGACTTTCATTGCTTGCGCTACTTGACGTCCGGTTAGTACCGCGGTATTGATTAATTCCCAGTTCTAAGTTTAATATGAGTGATTTAAAAATACATGTTTTTGTTTTCAAATAAAAAGCAAAGATTTTTTTTTGTTGTCCTAAATAAATTTTTTCACATTTGTCTGTGTTTACTTCGATGCCTCCTTATTTTTCAAAACATACCTGACATTACAAAGATTTCAGTTATTTTGTTTCATGTTTTTGTAAAGTAAAATGAAAATAACGATTTCAAAATAAACGAGAGCAAATCTTACAAAACCATTGATTGTTTCATTAACTGTGGACAGAATTAATACTATGAGCAAAAACTAGTAAGACTTTGTTCATAATTTTAAAATTCTTAATTTATTCTTCAACATCTTTGTTGTTCACCTCAAAGTAATTCCCCTTGGCCATAATACACTTATGTAAACGTTTTTCCCAACCCTCGAAACAGCTTTTAAAGTCAATTTTCGGAATAGCCTTCAATGCGGTCAGCGATTAAACTTTAATGTCTTCAATTGACTCAAAAAGGTTTTCTCGAAAAACTCACGCCCATAACTCTGCCTTTTTTTTTATACTCTCGCAACAAAGTTGCTAAAGAGAGTATTATAGTTTTGTTCACATAACGGTTATTTGTAAGTCCTAAAACTAAAATAGTCAGATATAGGGTTATATATACCAAAGTGATCAGGGTGACGAGTCGTTTCTTTTAGGCATTTCCATATACAGTTCAAAAATGGAAGAAATCAGATAATAACCACGCCCATCTCCCATACAAAGGTTATGTTGAAAATCACTAAAAGTGCGTTAACCGACTAACCAAAAACGTCAGAAACACTAAATTTTACGGAAGAAATGTCAGAAGGAAGCTGCATCCAGGCTTTTTTTAAAAATTGAAAATGGGCGTGGCGTCGCCCACTTATGGACCAAAAACCATATCTCAGGAAGTACTCAACCGATTTCAATGRAATTCGGTATATAATATTTTMTTAACACCCTGATGACATGTACCAAATATGGGTGAAATCGGTTCACAACCACGCCTGAAATCTCGATTATCTCTTTATCATGCGAGAGTATAAAATGTTCGGTGACACCCGAACTTAGCCCTTCCTTACTTGTTTCACAAATAACTTCGCGCAAACGACACATAACATTAAATAGTATTCATTGTTGACAGTTAGGCCGGTTGAAAGGAATTCGGAGTGCACCAGACCTCTATAATCGAAGAAAACTTGGAACATAACCTTGATTTTTGACCTGGTTTGACGTGGTTTTTTTTTGCTTCAACTCACATTTACCACGATATTCGGCCGATTGATCGTCTGTTTTCAGATCGATTATCACCGAAGGCGTTTTCCAACATTCTGAACATTTTGGCGTCAGAAATTTTATTCCGCACACACAGTTAAATATAACTCCTTTTTTGTATAATTTCACTCAACGTAAAAATCACGAATGCATTTATGTACTTCGGAAAGACAAACGTATACTAAAACTAATGAATAGTTTGATGTGACATTTGGCACAGATGTTACTGAGAGTCATATCATTCTAGAAAAAAATATTTTGACGAATAGGTTTTCGGCCAAATTTTTTTTCCAAATTTTAATCGCCGAAAATCGTTTAATTGTTTTTCAAAATATTCTCCATTAACATCTATATACTTTTGCTTGAGTTCGATAAAATAAGTTATTTGATCCCAAGTCCGAAATATACCGTGATTGACTCATCAAGTTTTGAGTATTCGAAAATGTCGATGAGTGCGAGTTTACATTGTCGTAGTGAAGAGTGATCCGTCTTCGACAGTTGCTTTCCTGATTTTATGAAAGACAACTGGCAAACAGATGGTTATGTATCACTCAGAATTTATTGTTATGCGCTGTTCTAGTGGATAGTGCTTTGTATGTGAACAACTTTTGTTGGCTTCGGTCATCATGAAATATTCATGCAGCCAATTGATCTTTATTTTCGGGCGCATACGCATAAATTCACATTTCATCATCTCTCACGATTTCATATCCGTTTTTCGAAGCACAGTTATAATATTTTTTAACATTTCTCTCTACCAATCGACACGAACCTTTTTTTTTGACAAATTGTGTGAGATCCCAAGGAAAAAACAATTACAATAAAACGTGCATGAAAAGTGAATATTTCCTAGTTGTGAGTTGCTAGAGCAACACTAGGGTTGCCAAATCTCGAAATATAAATGACAACCTACGTATCAAAAAAATCAGTATTATATCTATGGCAAGAAAAGCACTGTAGGCCAGAGTAATTTAATTACGCCTAATTATTTCATTATTTCACGGCCAAGCTGTCAACTGGAGAGTTTAATTCAATTATAATTACCTTGATTCGGTTGTATTAATATCAAAAAAAAAAAACTTCTGACTACTTAAGCTCCTACTACAAGCGATGTATCATCGTATACAAATTGAGTGACAGTGTTTTCAAAGATGTTTACTGCATTGCTTAATTTAAAATTAAAAATATTAAATAATATACAATTGACTATAAGGCAATATAAAATGTTATGCTTTTTCAATGGTTCAATATACTAAAATATCTACTACTTAAAATTTTGTAAATGCAGACAAATTTAACTACCTTAGCCATTCAATATACATTAAAATTTTGTAAATGCAGACAAATTTAATTACCTTAGCCATCGGTAAGACTGCTTGTATATCATCCTTGTTGATTTCTAATTTCGTTGTTAACCTTTTCTTGGATTCATCAGCCACTATACTAGCCGAAATTTGGTTTTTCGATTTGTCAGATTTATACACATAAGAAACATACCAAACTATTTTTCCACCATCCAATACATCTACTACTGCGTCACCAAGTTCAAGTAGCCAAGAGAATACTTCAACGGAACTGCAAATATTACGAAAGTGTGGTAAGTATGTGTCTAATAGCAAATACATTTGATGACAACAATTTATCAACTTTTTAAACTTATCACATATGTATATACTGTGATTAAAAGGTGAATTTTGTCCATTTCATCTCTTCAAAGTAATCCCCTCCCGCTGCATTAGTAGGCGTGCTTTATTTAACCATCACAAGCTAATAGCTAAATCATGGACAAATAAAACGCACCCAAAAACCGAACCTTTTATACTCTTGCAACTTGCAAAAATCAAAACCAGTAAAATACTTTAAGGTGTTAACCAATCCTGATATTAATTATATAGAGGCTAGGCCACGTTTTCGCTCAAATTTATCTATTTTATGCACAAAATACACCCTTATAAATAAAACATACCCTCTTATCTTATCATTGGGATAACTCACATATTGCCCGATATATGCAGTACAAAGTCACCCGGAAGTTCGAAGTTTTTTATATTAAGTGTATGGGGGCTAAAGGAAATATTGGTCCGATTCAACCCATTTTGCGGATATACCATTATAAGAAAAAGATCATCCCTTAATTCATTTATATATGTCACACATTGACCGATATTTTCGATCAAAAGTCAACTACAGGTACTGGGTCCACATTTTCGGTACCTAGGGTTTTGAACAGAATAAATTTTATCCACAGGTGCCCCTTGCTACTGTGATCCCCTATGCCAAATTACAGTTTTATATTTTAATTAAGTGCTCAGTTATGGCGCTTCATACGTTTTTGGTTAATGGAAGTTTGTGGGCGTGGTCAAATTACGCAAGAGTATAAAAATTGGGAAATTGTACAATAGTTTGCTACACAAGATTATATTAGTGCATTGCATTGGACGATGGAACATATGTAAAAATGGACTCACATTACTAGGGCACAATTCTACACGAAACTGCACGATAGTGTTAATAATGGAAATAGAAATTTTAATACAATGCACCGGATCAAAAATTCATTAAATGGACTTCGAATTACTTCCGTATCCACCGTATTGTCTAGGTTTAATTTTTCAAAAGAATGCTCGCTGGGAAGAAATTTCCGCCGAATGAAGGACAAACCGTACTTCGAAAATGGTATCGAAAAGTTGTAAGGTCGTTATAATTAATATATTAGTTCCCTTGAAGATAACTATGCTAATTAAAAAATCCAAGCAAAAAGAGTGCTGAATCAATTAAGCCGAGTTTTAAAACGATAATCGCAATAATTTTGCCTTTATTTAAGTTTTAATGGATGATGGAGCCATGTGTAAACGCAAATGAGGAAAGTTCCGGGTAGCCAAAGAACAAATGTTTGAAGGCGAGCTAAAATGAAAGCTAAAGTGAAAGGCCAAACATCTCTTCCACGTAAAAAACGCCTCAATGAATAGTAAAAAAAAAACAACCTAGGGTCAGAGATCGCCTTTTGATGACGACCCTTCAAACGTGTTAAGGATTACGATTTGAAAACATGCATCTGAAATGTAAGGTCCTTTAATTGGGAAGGTGTAGCAACCACCTCTGTGCAGCAAAAAACGCATGTCAACAAACACAAGGAAGGTTCGAAAAGCTGCAATCACAATAGATAACCGAACGATCAGGCTCATCAACAACTCGGTATAAGGGAACTGTGGTGCGGAATTTCAAGCTCCTTATGTACAGCAGCAACCGAAACCATTTTTTTCGAGAAGGCAAAAGAACGGTTGATACGATGAGGGGCATCATGTTACAATGCCTACTACAACACGTGCGGTATGTGATAGCTGCCGAGAGTTGAAGATATAAGCGAAACGCATTTGCAGACAAAAAAGAGAGAGGCCGAAATGGGGGAGTATGATGAGCTTGACAAGGTGGTCGACAGTGCTCGAAAAGCTCTACGAAAAGATGCGATGACTAACAAAAGGTTTCAAGACCGGAACAACACGGAGGTTGTACAAGAGACCAAAAGAGATAATCTAGTGAGCATCAAAATTTATGGAGGGAGCACTTCTTCAGCCTGCTGAATGGCAGTGATATAACGCCAGGAGCAAGCGAACCCTATTCCCAAATCGATGACGATGGGGCTGACGTCCATTGCTTCACTTTGATAAAGTTCGAATAGCAATTACCTGTCCGAACAACAAAGCGGCACAAGTCGATGGATTGCCTGCCGAGCTTTTCAAACACGGTGGCGATTACCTCTCCGAGCCGTTCGATTCCAAACGGAGTTTTAGACAAGGCGACCTTTTGTGTGACTTTTTCAATCTGCTCTTGGAGGAAATAATTCGAGCTGCAGAACTTAATCGCGCAGGTACAATCTTCGATAAGAGTGCAAAGCTGCTGGCATATGCCGATGATATTGATATCATTGGCTACAACACTCGCGCCGTTAGTTATACTTTCTCTAGACTGGATAAGGAAACGAAGCAGATGGATCTGACAGAAAACGAGGGCAAGACGAAATACCCCGTCATCAAACAAACAGTCGTCATACTCGCGACGTCACTTTTGATAATCATAACTTCGAAGTTGTAGATAATTTCTTATACTTAGGAACCAGCATCAACACCAACAACAACGTCAGACTCAAATCCAACTCAGGATATCTCTTGCCAACAAGTGCTACTTCGGACTAAGTAGGCAATTGAGAAGTAAAGTCCTCTCTCGATGAACAAATACAAAACTCTATAAGTCACTCATTATTTCCGTGCTGCTATATGGTGCAGAGGCATGGACGATGACAACATCTGATGAGTCGACTTTGCGAGTTTTCGAGAGAAAAGATTTGCGAACGATGAACTGTATGAGATATATATTAAAAGACAGCGGCTACGCCGGGGGAAGCAGAGAAAGACCTCCATTCCGTCGGAAGGACCAGGTGGAGAAGGACCTGGCTTCGCTTGGAATCTGCAATTGGCGCCAACTTGCGAAAAGAAGAAACGAGTGGCGCACTGTTGTTAACTCGGCTCTTTTATAAGAGTCTACAGTACGAGAATGATATTGATATCATTGGTCTCAACATCTGCTCTGTGAGTTCTGCTTTCTCCAGACTAAATACGGAAGGGAGGCAATTATTTTGGTATTGAACGAGGGTAAGACGAAATAACCTGTCATCTAACAAACAGTCGACGTACTTGCAACTTAGCTTTTAATTCACTATTGAGCCACAATTTTAAAGAGTAAGTACTAATACCAACAACAATGTCAGCATCGAAATCAAACGCAGAATAACTCTTCCCAACAGGTGCTACTTCGGACTGAGTAGGCAATTGAGAAGTTAAGTTCTCTTTCGACGAACAAAAGTCTATAAGTCACTCATCATTTCCGTCATGATAAATGGGGCAGTGGCATGGAGGAAGACAATTTCTGATAAGTCGACGTTACCAGTTTTCGAGAGAAGGTTTTGCGGAAGATTTATGGTCCTTTGCTTATTGGCAACGGCAAATATCCCATTCGATGAAACTATGAGCTGTACGAGTTATACGACGACATTGACATAGTGCAGCGAATTAAGAGACAGGTCACGTCATCCGTATAGACTTATGGTCAACATAATCAGCCTACTGAGCGTAGTTTTCGCAATACCATCACCCATCTTGAGACCCAGGATTCATTATTGGATAATATTTGACCGAATAGACCACGTGCGGTAGAATTTTGAAGAGTAAAAGCGTTTAAAATACCAAATGCCAATTAGATTTGAAGTTCCTATGTTTTTTGTTTAATAAATGCATCACCCTATATTAGGTATATCACAAACATTTCGTTCAAATTGTTGGGATATGGAGTTTGGAGTTTTTAGCCCTTTGCGACCGTATGGCTGCTCTCAGCCACCAAAGCTTTTTTTACCGTTGCCGATTCGTTTACATCGAATGTAATATTTTATAAGTGGACTTTAACTTAGATTTGGCGAGTTCAATTCTTAAAATATTTCAAAATAATAACCTAATAAAATTGCAAAAAAAATTTTTTTTGTTGCCACATTTTATGTTTGCCGGAAAGTTGGCGGAACAACTTGTTGTTGATTTTCATAATGAAATATTTTTCTCTCAGTTAATTATTGTTTAGTCCAGTGCTCATCAAAATGAACCCAAATTTTTTCTGTATCGTATGATATATGACTCAAAAATGCCTCCTAAAAAATCACTCAGCCGCAGCGTACTTGCGCCGTTTGTAAAATTGTCGCTAATTCACCAAATGTCATGTGCGCAAATTGCCGTACATGGACTCATTCCAAGTGTGCGAAACTTAATAGAGCGGAATTCACCGAGCTAGCAAATAAAATAAAACATCAAGGTTATCAATGGAAATGTGAAACATGCCGTTTGGAGGTTAGTATCGTCACTCAGGATGAAAGTGATGACGATGGTAACATCACCATGCTTAAACTTAAACGTCTGCCAATATTCAAAGTTCACAACATCTTTTGAGAGTAAATTCAACAGTTTCAAGACAGCAATATCAGAATGTGAGGGGACTACGTACCAAGCTCGGCAGTTTTCTGACAACAGCAGCGATTAGCAGTATTGATGCCTTCTGCATCACTGAGTCATGGCTTCACCCAGCTATCCATGATGGGGAAGTTATAGATGACTCATTCAATATTTACAGAAAGGATAGAAACAATATCACAAGTGATAGTGAACGGGGTGGGGTTGTTTTCATCGCAATAAAGAAGTTTGTGCACGCTGAATGTATTCCAGTCATTGATGATAGTATTGAACACATCTACGTAAAAATCAAGTGCAATAGTTCAGATATCATAGAGTATCAGTTTCTCGATACCCTCCAGTACTTGTAAGTAAACAAAAATACCAACTTCCTCATCACGGAGGATTTCAACCTTTAAAGTAGCTCGCCTCATAAAGACCGTGAAAATTTACTCTATGAAGGCTTCTCTCTGTTAGAATGCCGCCAATTTCATAACATTCAAGCCGACAATCATAATTTACTTGGTCTTTGTTTCCGTAATCAGCATATACACGTTGACCACACGCAGGCAATTACCACAATGGGTCGATACCATCCAGCCCTTGGTATCACGATTGAACTCCAGCTCAGCCTCAAACCAGTAACTTTACCTTTCCATGATTTCAAAAGTGCTGACTATGAGAACCTTAATGCATTTTATCTAAACGTCGATTGGTCGAGCCTGTATTCATCCTCTACCCTAGACAGCAAAGTTTTAGTCTTCTATGATATTATTCAAAGAGGTGTATCCACCTATGTGTCTGTCCGTTCACAAAACAACAACTTTCCGTACTGGTTTTCAAGCGAATTAAAACACAAAACGATACTTAAAAAGGAAGCCCATACTACCTACAAGAAGTGCAATTGCAAAAAGAATTATAGAAAGTTTAGCGAACTCAGGAGAGAATGTAAAATTCTCAATAAACAATGCTACAAGAATTACATAGATAAAATTGAACAAGTACAGGATGACGCTAATGTGTTCTGGAAATTTGTTAAACATAAAAAAAGAGGTAATGGTGACATCCCATCCACCATGTCCTGGGATAATCTTACGGCAGACTCAGGTATCGATATTAGCAATATGTTCGCATCCTTTTTCAATAGTGTGTACAACCAAAATTCTCACCAGTGTTCACCGTCAAATGAAGTAGTACCAGCTCCGACTGTCACCATGGATGAATTTGGAGTTAACATCAATGACGTCCATAAAATGTTGTCGACACTGAACTTGAAGAAAGGTGTTGGTACGGACGGCTTACCAAATACTTTTCTTAAAAACTGTGCAGACAGCCTCAGCGAGCATATCACACACTTATTCAGTTACTCACTACGAAATGGTGTCTTCCCAACTAAATGGAAATCATCCTATATCTGTCCGATTCATAAGAAGGACCCAAAGTCTGAGGTCGTTAACTGTAGGCCAGTTTGCATCCAATCAACTTTGGCCAAGCTTTTCGAGAAGATAGTTCTCCCACAACTCAGAGCATTCTTCACAAATGTTATCACCAACAAGCAGCGTGGTTTCGTCGGCGGAAGGTCGACTTCCTCTAACTTGTTTATCTACGTAAATTATCTACTAGATGCACTAAACAATGACCACTCAGCTCACACCGATTTCATAATGTAACCTTAGGAGTACCTCAGGGGCCTTCTCTCTTTAATATCTTCGTAAACGATATTGGCGATAACTTTCAATCAGAATTTTTGCTGTATGCAGACGATTTGAAGATCTTCAGAATGATAACCAGTGAGCAAGACCTTCGAGTTCTTCAGAATAACATAGACAAGCTTTCGTTGTAGTGCCGATTAAACAAATTGGACTTGAATGACAGAAAATGTGTTACTGTCTCCTACTCACGGTCACATATCAAAAAACCAGCTAATTATTATCTAAATGATGAATTGTTAAGTGAACTGGATCATGTAAATGACCTGGGTATCATCACAGACAATCAACTGACGTTTAACAAGCATATTGAGAAGATCACTCTCCAGGCTTTTAAAGTTCTGGGCTTCATTACTAGAACTAGTAAGGATTTCATGAATACCATCTCACTGTTACGCCTTTATTCATCAATGGTTCTGCCAATTTTAGAATATGGCTCTGTAATTTGGACGCCTTATACCGATGCAGCCTCTAGTCGTATTGAAAAAATACAATCAAAGCTATGTAAATGTCTTGGCTATCGATATGGTATTAATGGTGGCTACAACACAATGTCTGATGTCTAAAAAAACTATAACATCAACAGCTTGCAAGAACGTCGTCAAATAGCTGACATGATAGTTTACTTCAAAGTCATGAATGGCCTTATCGATGCGCCAGACATCATCAGCAGTTTCGAATTTGTCTCTCACTGAGACGTAACCGTCTCCTGAAGACTATGAAAACTACCAAGAGCTACGTTTTCAATGGTCCTCACACCATCTGGCCAGGCTCGTCAACTCATTGCATAGTGATGTGGACTTCTATAGCGGATCGCTCAGCGCCTTCATCCCGGATATCAAATCACGTCTACTGCAATATCCCTAGTCTCACCATTTCCACTTTCTCCTTCTAATTTGCTATAATTTGCTATTCTTACAATTTTTGTTCAATTTATAGTTTTATTTATACTAGTATTAATCCCTCCCTTTTAATTACATAAAAAACATTATATAATTTTGGCGTATGTATACTTAAATAAATAAATGACATGCATCTTAAGTTTTGAAAGGAATTAATAAATTTTATTTTTTCTTTACAATCTTGCATACTGTGTATTACTGTTTTTTCAACGAAAATTAATTCCGACCAGCATGACACCCATATATAAAATTAATACGGTCGCAAAGGGTTAATCCTACATCTCTGCTGTAAAATGTAATGTTTTTCAAGTTTCGTTTTAATTTTCGATTAAAACATTGTGTGGATGTGAAATAATCGGAAATTGCCCATCTCTAATATCATATAGATAAATCATAAATATCTCAGTTGATTTTAGGTAGGAAAAACCCGTTATATTATACTATATGTACTATGTGCGTGAGTTCCGTAGAAAATAATAAAATGTTTGGAAAATTAAATATGTAGTATAAATAATGGAAACAAACATTTTATAAAACATATAGTTTAAAATAATATTTAAATCACATTAGTTTTATCACCTTGTTTCGATACTTGTATTATTCATGTCATTGGCAATTTCTGCAGATACTTTGGATTCTTTTCTATAAGCAGTAACTCGAGCAGTAGTGTGCTTGGGATTTTCCTTTTCAATTGATATACTCCACAAGTCGGTAGATATTGTAGCACCCAAAATTTTTACACCCGCTTTTACGCGCGCTTTTATAGTAAATGCGGACACTGTAAAATCTTGTGTTTGATGAAAAACTACTGGCACATACATTTTTGACATTGGATACAAAGCATTTTGCGGTAAAAGAAACGTCAGTTGTTCATCAATACGAATTTCTTTAAATTGCACCGAAGCAGCGACAAGTGGAACATGAGCAAATGTTGTCAATGGTTGGATTTGGACTTTAGGCTCACATTGTTCAGAGTTGCGTGGCGAAGGTTCAAATACGCTATATGAAGCTTGCATCACTCTGTGCGGCAGTTTCTGTAAAGTACTGCTACTCCCCATGACTAATGGATTTCCAGGCCACCATATTGAAGGAATGATTACCTAAAATTATACACAATTAGTTAAGAATGCAATAACAGTTTAAAGGGTGCAGGAAGATAATACATTTTGAGTTGCCATTATTATAAAAATATAAAGAAAATGTTGCAACTAGAACACATAAAATATTATCTGATTTTTAACGGAAAAACTGTAAGCCACTTTGCAGAATATAAAATATATAAGTATTATTGTTTAAATTATGATACTTGCTCAATTTTGTCACTTAGATAAAAACAATGATTATATACTAGTAGGCCAGTCAAGAAAATATATTTTTTCTTAGATGGAAATAAGGTAAATTATTCTATCTATTAATTAAAGCAATAGCCAAAATAGATAAACTGACTTATACCATTATTACGGTTTTTAACTACTAAGGAACCCACATACAAAGTTTCATATCTCAATTTTACTCAAGCTACAGCATGCCTCGATGAACGGACGGACGGACGGACAGACAGACAGTCACCCGGATTTCAACTTTTCTCGTCACCCTGATCACTTATATGTATATATGTTAATATCATCTACATATCTCGATTAGTTTCAAGTGATACGTACAACCGTTGGGTTAACAAAACTATAATACATACTCTGTAGCAACTGGTGGCAAGAGTATAAAAGCTGAAGTTTGACAAAACGTGAACCGAATTTTTTTTTTTTTTTTGACTATTGAGTTGAAAACCATAATACCGAATTTCTGAACTTCAACCAAAATATACTTAAGGGGCCTCAATTCGGTGCTACTTCATAAAATAAGAACACTTAATATTTTGATTGAGCAAATAAAACAATATTATCTTTAAAATTACTTAGTTTTAGTTTTTATTCGTATTTCATTTAATTTAAGAGTGCAGGATGTAATGCGTATTAAATTCGTGACAAATTGCATAAATTTTACCATTTAAAACTCGATTCAGTTGAATTGACATTAAGCAACTTCTTGCCAACATAAGCAAGTAAAGATTTCACAGAAAGTAAACAGCTCACAGGTTTGAAACAAAAATTTAAGACAATAATTTTTCGCGAAATGGTAAATAAATATTAAATTCAATTAGTTTGTATTAATATTTATTATTGAGAAAAGATTTGTACCAAAATTGTTCTAACGTATATGAAAATGATTTTGTATGTTAATTACTCGAATATATTGGAACAAGCAAGGAAAGTGAAAATTGTAGTGACAGCTCAATGTTTTTTTCTTATGATGTCAGTTTATATACGAAAGTTATTTCCCCTTTAATGAGCGGCCTTGCGTATTGAAGCTGCTGTACCTTCTTTATTGAGCCTATTTAATTTTCCAATTTATTTATATTGTTATCATAATAAAACGATGAAGATGATTTTTTCGTTGTGAAGCAGGCTTTATAAATTATGGAACGCGGTATTTGTGCGAAAGAGGAACAAAACCCTTCTTCGATAGTTCATTTCCGGAAGTAATTAACTGTATTAATTTATCATGTTCGTATCATTTTCGACAGTACCTTAGTTTTATTTATATGTACATCGCTTAATTTTAGGACTTTTCACTACATGTTCAACAAGTTTTTCCAACTGCTGCTTTTAATATTTTTACGAAATTCTTCAATCGTTTTCATTTTCAACTAATATTTTTTGAAACTAACTGCAGGAAAGTTCAATTTCTACTGCTAGGTAACAACCGTAATACCACAAAGTCCCCTTTAACTGTAATTTTTTCGACGGATAGAGTTGTTATAGATTATACCAAATTTCACAACTTCAGTTGAAGTTGTGAACCTTAAAAGGGGCATTAAGGTTGTAGTTCGTCAATGATATAAGCTAAAAATTAACATATTATTTTCAAAAACATAATTTCAAACAAAAAAACTTAGAACATGCTCTAAAATAGATTTTTCTAAATTTTTTAAATGACAAATGCCTAATATATCCCAAAAATAAATTTTACAAACATGATAAAGGCCTCAAAGAACGCTTCCAATTCTAGCCATTGGGTGTACATATATTATTTGTGCAGTTTACCAAGAGATGGCGTACCTGTCTTATGCGTTGGAAAGTCATAAAAAATAAGCTCTACAAAACACCTTATAGGCTGCTGCATATAAAGTTTTAAAGTGTTTGATGAAAAGTTTTTATATACACCTCTAAAAGCCCCTTTTTATTATCAAATTAATGTTTGGACGTGACATTAGTTTCAAACACTAAAAAGCAGGCGTGATAACGAGTATATTGACAAAATTCTACACAATAAATTTTCGTACAAAATTTTTCTTGCTTATTAATTAAATTTTATGGACTTACCTCTGCAACACAAACATTGTCTTCACCTTCAGGCATGCAACGACCTTTTAACGGAATTTGATTGCTCAACGAAATGTGCAGCAATACGCATATCTTTTGCCTTTGAAGGTGACCACCTGGATCTGTACCAGCATGGAAAAGAACCCGCACTACTGGTGAGTCACGCGAAACTGCGGGTTTTATTAAGTGGGCTGATATATCCAAATGCATATTAGTTTGCTGCAATTCAATAAGTGCCGCTGTGGTGTTCTGCAAATAAATACAAATTGAAAAACGTTTATTTTAATCAATACGCATTTATGTCACATAATATAATATTACGCAACTTTTTCTAGGAATAAGAGCAAACATACACTACAAAGTACTGCATGAGTGCCTAATTTTCTTACTCAAAGTATACTTTCTTCCAAAGCAGTGGCGGAGGCCACTGACACTCATATAGATGTAAATGGTCTACCAACAAGAATGACGTGATGTTAAAATGAATTAAAACACTCAAATTCGGACTAGGTTTTGTTTTGTTGTGCATATTACTTTTTACCGTTTATAATTTGAACAAAATGTCGGCTCAATGGCCACCTCCGTTTGCATATCTCAACTTATGATGATGACCCGGTGCAGCATTTCAGCTATACTATTTAATCATTGACTGAACCATTCCTCGAAATTAACGAGTCGCCAAAGTTTACGCGCAATGTCTCCATGTTTAGAAGTGAAGCATGGGGCGCCGCACCGTCTTGGAAATATAGAGCGTCCGCTTCTATTTCATCAATTTCCGGGAAAAAAGAAGTCGGTCAATAACATTTTCTGCGTCATTTCGAAAGAAACAAGGCCTGATGCCGCCATACCACAATCTGCGCCAAACAGTTAATTTTGGGGATGCAATTGTGCTTTTCTGAACATCAATAGAAACAATTTTGATCGTTTCCAAAGCCATTAAGCCAGAAATGGGCTTGAGATAATTCCCTTCACGACGGGTCTTTTCCTTTCACGGTAAGGTGCCACAGTATCGTAGAAATTATAATCATATTTGACGTTTGTAATTTTGCCTTGTCTTGTATGATAACTGCAGAGGTACACCAAAACAAAGAAATACAAAATATCTATTATAATAAAATGAGTCCCAAAATGTGTTGCTAAGCGCATAACTCAACACCCCTGGACCGGTTTGGCCTTTTCTTTTTTTTAAATGTTCGTTGAGGTTCAAAGATGGTTTTTACGACGCGAAAAATTCGAATAATTGCTGGAAAACCCCTAAAAGCAGCACTTTTCTTGAAAGTTTTTAGTAACGCTAAGGCTGGAGAAAGTCTGCACCAATCTTGATAAAAGTTTCAGAGGTTGTTCGTTGTGTATCGGGAAAAGTTTAGAAATAAAAAAAAATTTTATGCTTTTATGAGGAAAAGTCGGGGGGAATGTTTAGTATCGCGCCGGTTAAGTATCGTTTATGGAGAAAAACAGGGTCGGGCTATCCCCCCTCCCGACCCCTTATTGGAAAGAGGAAGGATCGAACTTTTTAATAAACCCCCCCTCGATCCCCTAGATCGCCTATGGACCTGTAGGGAGGCCTTTGAAAATGACCAAAAATC